CGCCAAGACTCTTGCCATAGTAACCCAATGCAGGTTTATATGCAAACAGCGTGCAGTATTCCAAATAGAGCTAAAGGAATAGAATTCAAATAAAATAACCTCAGTGTGTTACGGACTTACGGCGTATGTTGCGTGAATTAGTAGATATGCATTTTGGGGAAGGGTATATTTGGAGATATGTAAGTAATTTTTCAAAAACAAACATGCGGTGTGCTATGAAACATCAAGTGCACTGGTTTGGTATTTGTCATCCTAGCACTTGTTCTTTATGCCTGAAAGAATGTGATCGGTCTGAGTTTAGGATATCAACTCGGATGTGAGAATCTCTCAGTTTAATACGAATGTTCTTAATCTTATCTATTTTTCTTGTGTGAAATATAACACATAATCTCTTCTAATCTGAAGCTTTATGCTTTGGCTTGAATCTTTCTTGCCTGGACTGGTTTAATCTGATTAAATAAGAATATGTAAAAAGCACGACCTTATAATAAAAATAAGAATTATGATAAAAAAAATTAAAATAAGAATTATAAGAGGCACAACCTTATAATTAAATGAGATGAACAAAAACAGTACATTAGTAAACTTCCATCATCATCATCATCATCATCATCATTTACCCCAGTGCCGCAAAGGCTCCCACCTACAGTGGGGTAAGGGGGGGTCGGATGTACGCAGTCTTACCTCTGTACGTTAGTAAACTTCCTTCTGCTAATATTTCCATAAATGCTTATCATTGCATTTTAAACAGTTGAGTTTGAATATATAATTGTTGGTTCAGCAAGTTTGGTTGTTTGTGATTTATAACTAGTCTTGAGTTTTTTTTACTATATTTGCAAATCATAAGCCCATTAACCACTGTCTTGACAAAGGAATGGGAAGTGATTGCTACATTTTCATCTTAGCTATTGACTGCATTTAGGAGAAATCAAAGTTGTGTTTACATGGCACTCTTATGTGTCTTCAAGAGCATATAAAAAATTAAGTTGAATATCTTATTACTTCCTTCATTTCCATCATTTGCAATGGAGCCAAAGATTCATTATTTTTTGGCTTGAGAATATGATGGAATAAAGCAAAATGGCTCACTAAAATGTCCGCGCTTCTTTGTTATGAAGTAGCAGTCAGCCCATGCAATTTTGGACGCGATTTTCACTATGGGTAATCCGGAAACAGTCTCTTTGTGCTTTAGTACAGAGGTAAGACTGCGTACATCCGACCCCCCTTACCCCACCGTAGGTAGAAGCCTTTGCGGCACTGGGGTAAATGAAAATGATGAATAGGACGATCTTATTACTTCCTTCGAATCATTTGCAATGGAGCCAAAGAATCACAATTTTTTGGCTTTGGAATATGATGGAATAAAGCAAACTGTTTGCACTACTTTGTTATGAAACAGCAATCAGTTCATGCAATTTTCGACGTCATTTTCACCATAGGTCATTCGGAAACAGTCTCTGTGTTTTAGTATGGGAGTAAGGCTGCGTTCATCCGACCCCCTTACCCCACCATAGGTGGGGGTGCCTTTGTGGCACTGGAGTAATGATGATGATGATGATGAATACCTGATTACTTGAATACGATAATTATCATGTATATGCATGATTGTGGATGACAGCATGAATCATACCATTCATATGCCTGAATCCTGATGGCTAGAGATGTCAGACCATCTGTTTTACATGTTTTCAGAATAAACAAAATGTGAGTGAATAATATTAAGCCATAACTGCCTCTCTTCTTTTCATATCACATATTGAATGTGGCAGGAGTTGATGCCCGGAGGTGTAAATTCGCCTGTTCGCGCTTTCAAATCTGTTGGTGGGCAGCCTATTTTGATTGATTCTGTGAAGGGCTCGTATATGTGGGACATAGATGGAAATAAATATATCGACTATGTAGGTTCTTGGGGACCAGCGATCATTGGCCATGCAGATGATGAGGTCAGTTCTACTAAAATGCATTGTGACTGATACCAAATCATCAATACTCGAAAAGGGTTTCACTTTAAAACACTATGGACAGCTAAATATATGTAGTGTCTTATCTGCTTTCAGTTTGCTGCTTTAAAATATATGCCACCTTTTTTATGAGATGTTTTCAGTAGGTCAGTGATTACGGAATGCATACTTGAAAGTTGAAACATTCAGATATAACTATGGTCTTATATGTGCACATAATTTATGCTTTACTCATATTTACAGTAATTTCTTTTGTAAAAAAATGAGAAGCGAGACATAACTAGTACTCCCTCCATCCCAATTTAATTTGCAAATTTTCCTATTTTTGTTGTCCGAAAATAATTTTACTTTGTATTTTAGGTATGGAAAGATGAATAAAGCAAAAAACTTACCCTTCCTTTTACCCTTTTTTCCATTTACTTAAAGATCTCTACTTAATGGGATAAAGTGCAAAATAGTAAAGTACAACTAATTTATTATCTTCCTGAATTCTTGGGACGAATGGAGTAGTTGTTAAATATTTTTTCATGGGGGGATAATCACAATAAATTTGCCTACTATTAAAATCTTCATATGGGGATAGTCACAATAAAGTTGCCTACTATACTGTCACTAAATGCTCTTCCACACAAACGAAGGTGATCTATTCTCCATATATTTTAAACATGGTAATACTTTAATTGTTTACTTTAAGGTACTGGCAGCATTGGGTGAAACAATGAAGAAGGGAACAAGCTTTGGTGCTCCCTGTCTTCTCGAGAACACATTGGCGGAGATGGTCATTGATGCTGTTCCATGCATAGAAATGGTTCGATTTGTTAACTCAGGGACAGAGGCTTGCATGGGTGTGCTGAGACTTGCTCGTGCTTTCACTGGGCGAGAAAAGCTAATCAAATTTGAGGGGTGTTACCACGGGCATGCGGATCCATTTCTTGTTAAAGCAGGCAGTGGGGTTGCCACCTTAGGGCTTCCTGACTCCCCTGGAGTTCCCAAAGCAGCCACTTCTGAAACGCTCACTGCCCCATATAATGACATTTCAGCCGTAGAAAGCCTCTTTCAGGCCAACAAAGGGGAAATTGCAGCCGTTATCCTGGAACCCGTAGTTGGAAATTCTGGGTTCATTCAGCCCAAGCCTGATTTCCTCAATGCACTGCGCAGTTTGTCGAAAGACAACGGTGCCCTCCTCATATTTGATGAAGTTATGACCGGGTTCCGCTTGTCATACGGTGGAGCCCAGGAGTACTTCAGCATAACTCCTGATTTGACAACACTTGGCAAGATCATTGGTGGTGGCCTCCCTGTAGGGGCATATGGTGGAAGGAGGGAGATTATGGAGATGGTGGCACCTGCCGGACCTATGTATCAGGCTGGGACCTTGAGTGGAAACCCACTGGCAATGACGGCAGGAATCCACACACTAAAGCGGTTAAAGGTGCAAGGAAGCTATGAATACTTGCAAAACGTCACAGGTGAGCTACTTGAGGGAATTTTGACGGCTGGAAGGAATGCTGGTCATGCAATCTGTGGTGGGTACATCAGTGGTATGTTTGGTTTCTTTTTCACAGATGGTCCAGTTTACAACTTTGATGATGCAAAAAAGAGTGACACTGCAAAGTTTGCAAGATTCTATAGAGGGATGCTAGAGGAGGGTGTCTACTTTGCACCTTCCCAATTTGAAGCTGGATTTACCAGCTTAGCACATACTTCTGAAGATATTCAACAAACCATAGCAGCTGCTGAGAGGGTTTTCCAGAAACTCTGATTTTCTCTACTGAGCCCTTGTCTTCTATATCTCTTTTCATTTAGGCAATGATAACGCTTTTGTTAGAGAGCTTTATATGTTTATTTGAGGGAACCACATTCTTGTATCACCGCTTCATTGTGAAACCTCGTCTGTTATTAATTCCCTGCCAATGTAAACTTTTGTAAGAATAAATTGTCTTCATGGTTAAAAATTAAGTTGATCTGTTGTGATTATAATGTATTAAGTCCGGTAGTTTGAAATAGTATAGCACCATCGACTAGCTTGTGTGACGGTACCTCGAAATAGTTTTGGGGTATGCCTGCCATGGACGGTCTAGACGAGCTGTTTTGCCGTGAGAGATCTATGCTCTTACTTCAAACTTCAAAGAACTGCTCGGCCTATATGAAACAGGGCAACAAAAAAGTCTAATAAAAGTAGTCTTACTGTATAAATTTTGGAATGTCCAAAGACCAAGTCCAAACACCAATAACTTAAGTTACTTAAGTAACTTAACCATGAGAAAATCAAATGTGAACTGTTAATTTAAAAGTCAAAGATCCACATGAAAATTTGGCAGTGTTCATAAAATAAGCAAGTCAAACTCTAATTATTTGATTTGTTCTTGTTAGAAACTAATTATACTTTCGTATATCACGGTTTACACGTTTACACTGCGATCTACATCAACATTATTTTCTGTTCAAAGAGACGCCACTCAGCCTCATGGATATGAATATTTTAGCGTGCCTTTGCGAATTGCGAGTAGAATTAGGTTTTAGTGCGCAAGTTGATGTACATAAGCCAAAAAATTCTAATTATCTCGTTGATAACTGATAAGCATCATCAGATGCTGATTATGTCTACCAAATTAATAACTTAAAACAAACAGCCCTCCATCCGACAATTAATTTTCAAATCTGTATAGTACACTTATTTAAGTTAGCCGCTTTTTGTTTGTTAATTGTTATTTCCAACTTTGGCTCTACTTAATGTTTAGTGTTCATAAAGTAGGAGCATTAATGCCTTTTTCTTATTAAAATTTTGACTTTGATGATAATAGGAACTTAATTTTTTCTTATTAAAAACAGTAATGCGAACTTAATTTCAAAATATTCCTAAAAATGTGTGCATATGTGTATGACATCAAGTGTTTGACAAATTAAAGAATTTGGTTGACTCAGCCTCAGTAGTTCATTGGTTCCATATTTCTTTCCATTGCAAGACCTTAAAAAGAAACTAGTAGTTCAGTAGTATGTAAATATGCAATTTGGTGTAAAAAAAATGTAAATATGTAATTGAGTGAAGCAAACAATAATTTATTATTGATCATTCTGCAGGTAGGTGGTGGAGCTTCCCAGCCACCATTACAACACAAAATGGATCAAAGGATTCTTGTCTAGACTGTAAAATTTAGACATTAAGCAATGCAAATAAGCAAATCACCCCTGAAACTTTAACAACAATTCACAAAAACCCTAGTTATTAATCACTCAGTACAGACCTAAACCTAAAACTCTAACAGTTTTTCATCTACAGAAGAAGAAGAGCAAACAATACAATAGCAGCAAAGGCAGAAATATATATAGTCAGGTTCACAAAACAATATAATGATGATGATAATAATAGTAGTAATAATACGAGTATCATCTGAGGAAGAAGAAGAAGAAGTATCAACGGCCGTCGTCTTCTCTTCGGCCGGAAAGGGATGCTAGCAAATTGAGGTGTCCTTGTGCGATTGGCAAGTAATTCCCAACCCTAGCCGCCGACGCTTCGCCCAACTGCTGCTGGAAAAACCGAGAAGTCTGTGAATTCAATACGGCCGCCGCCTGTGTCGGCACCACCATCTCGTGAGGAGGAGGAGCCGCGGCGAAGCTCCAGACCTGGCCGAAGTCCGGCCTGCCAGGAACGGCCCAGAATCCGGCAGTAGGACCGACCACGACATCCTGTTGCTTGTTCCCGCCTCCGTTGTGGTCATCCAGGCTATCCTCCTCCTCCTCACTCCGCAGCCTCTTGCCGAGAAGGAACGGCGGCGCTTGAGCCATCGGCTTGTGATCGAGCGACGAGAATAAAGACGCTCCCATGGACGACGAGGAGCTCCTCGCGGGAGGCGAAATCGTGGAGAAGCTAGCGGGGATAGTTCCGGTCCCGGTAGCGGCTATAATAGACGGCTCGGCCTGGCGGAGAAGCCACTCGATGGTCTGGCCGTCGGACTTGTGGCCGAGCTCCCGCGTGAGCTGGAAAACTCTGGCAGCGCAGACAATCGGCATGCGTATGCGCCTCCCGCGGCCGTCGACCTTGCTGTGGCGGTCCTTGGCCGGAGGCTTCTTCACGACTAAGGCCCCATTGGAGGCGTTGATACCGGAGGTGAGCTGCTGCGGGTCGATTACCGCGCCGTTTCCGTCCACCGAGGTCGACATCTCTGATCGAGGAGGAGAAGAAGAATAAACTAACAATCAAACCTCGCAGTAAGGAAGTGAACCGGAATCAATGCCGGAGAAAACAAGGGATGGGGGAGGGGGAGAAATGGTGGAGGGGAGGGAGAGAAAGAAGGGGGAACAGGGTTCTAATGATTGAGAGGCAGGAGCTGGTGGAGACAGGAGGAAGGCACATGGGTGGTGGGGCCCGGGGTTGTACATACACTCAGTCAGGTCACGCACAGCTCATGCTTCCTCCACAGCCAGTAGCGCTATTCACTGTCGTCATCATCTTTTCTTTGTACGTTTGGTTGGTTCTAAGCTAAGCTAAGGCCAGTAGGATGGATGGATAACTATGAAGAGGAAGAAGAAAGAAGAGGATGAGGGTAAGGATTTGAGATATTTTAATGAAGAAATACTTGTTCTATATTAGGTGTGGATAGAATGGAGAGACCAATTTTGGCCACCTCAAAGAAGGATGAAGAACATAGCACCCTACATTGTTTTTTGTGTTGTCCCTCACCAGTCACAGGTGATTGAATCTATTTTTTTTTATTCCTGTTAGATTTTACAAACAAAAATTACTTTTGTACTACGTATAAAGAGCCCGTTTGGAGAACTCTGTTTTCGGCTTATCAGGCTTATCAGCCAGCTTTTTCACCAAACACGTAACTTTTACTTTCGCGCGCTGAATTGTGTAAGAAGCCGAAAAAGTAAGGTTGGAGTTACTTTTCTGGCTGTATTGGCTGAAGTTACTGTAGAGGACCATTTTAACTATTTTTACATATAATTTTTTCTTTAATTTATTAATAAAATATATTTTTAAAATATTTTTTTCTTAAATCAGCAGAATCAGCCAAAACAGCCACTCCGGCCAGAATATCATAAATTTCAGCAGAATCAGCCAAAACAGCCGATTTTGGTGCTACCAAACGGGCTCTAAAGAATTATTCAATATCTAATTCTCCCTTCATATTTCATGTTTTAAAGTTTCCTACGTTAGTTTTGGCCACACAATTTGAGATGAAATAGTAGGAGTAGAGTAAAGTGATAAAGTATGAAGGAGAAGATAATAGAATATAAAGGATAAAGTATATGATAGAATGCAATTAAAAGAGGACTAGTTTTATAAAAAGATATGTGACTTTCTTTTGGAGTGGTTCATAAATTATTTAATTAAAAGAGTAGTGAGGTAGGATATAATTAAATGAGGGTAAAAAGATACTCATAAGTGTAATAATGTATTTTCATAGACAAAAATTTTCCTTAATGAGAAAGTGTAACGAACTTTTAAATACAACTGAAAAAGGAAAGTGTAAGAACTTTTAAATATGGAGGTAGTATAGGGTATGTGGTAACATTGAAATTGGTTAAATAATTTGCAATGAGTGAAGTTCTTATATACTCCCTCCGGTTTTTAATAAACTTCACACTTTCCTTTTTGGGACGGTTTAAAATAAACTTCACGCTTCCTTATTTCCTTTTTTGGCAAAGAAATCTACATCAAAACCGTGCCAAACAGTGTCTCAACAGTGCCAAACAGTGTCTCTACAATGCCAAACAATGTCAAACAGTGCCTCAACAGTGTACTCTACAGTAAAGTCAAATTTCTTTCCTTATTTTGTGTGAAGTCAAACTGTGAAGATTAAAAAAACCGGAGGTAGTATACAGTTAAATTGATTGAATCTATTAATTTGTGGAAAAAATTATGTTTACAATATATTGTATTTATAAAAAAATATAGAAAAAGCTATGAGCCCATTTGGTAGCACGAAAATCGGCTGCTTTGGCTGATTCTGCTGAAATTTATGAAGTTCTGGCTGAAATGGCTGCATTGACTGATTCTGCTGATTAAAAAAAATATTTTTAAAATATATTTTATTAATAAAATAAAGAATTTTTTTTATGTAAAATAGCTAAAATGGTCATCTACAATAACTTCATTCAATACAGCAAAAAAAGTAACTTCAACCTTACTTTTTCTCCTTATTACACAATTTAGCGCGCAAAAACAAAAATTATGTATTTGGTAAAAAAGTTGACTGATAAGCCTGATAAGTCGAAAAACAATGATTCCAAATGGCCTCTATATTACTACGGAGTAGCATTTAGAGTCAAAGTGATATGTGAAATCAAAATCTGATATCTAGTGAAAGAAATTGACTGATAAAATGAGTAAGTAAAAACTACTCCGTGAGAGTTACCAAAACATGTTTCAAAATTCTTTTACTACTCTTTAGGAAACAATAAAATTTAATCAATATATAACCAATCAAAAGATGTTTAAATATGTTTTTAGTTCCTGCAAATGTAGCACAATTGTTTCACATCCCTACCAATTTTTTATTACCCGAGTATTATTTTTCACCCTGCAATTTATGTTGGTTTTGTTTTTAGTCCATCATCGATGGTAACAACTTCTGCTTGAACTCAAAATAACTCCGACTAATAGATTTCTTCTAATGCTTTTTCATGTTATTCAAAAGGTATTTAATTTTATTTTTTAGAAGATTTTGAATATATATTCATTAAATGTGAATACTTAGTTTTATATTGTTTTAATTCTCAATGTAGCCTCAAAAAAATATAAAATGAGAAATTTAAATATTTGTAGTAGATTTATGCAATTGTCATAATTTTTTCTAATTAGATTGATTTCAAATTAGAGATAGACTAAAACTAAAATAATACATATTACAAAGATAAAAAAACAAAAAAATATTTTGTACAACTTAAAACAAATTATGTTATATTTACATAAACTAAAAACATACTTCCTCCGGTTTTTAATAAACTTCACACTTTCCTTTTTGGGACGGTCTAAAATAAAATTCACACTTCCTTATTTCCTTTTTTGGCAAAAAAATTTACATCAAAACGGTGTCAAACAATGTCAAACAGTGTCAAACAGTGCCTCAACAGTGTACTCTACAATAAAGTCAAATTTCTTTCCTTATTTTGTGTGAAGTCAAAGTGTGAAGATTAAATAAAACAGGAGGGGGTATTTAAGTCAATCAAAATATGATACCGAAATGATTTACATTTCAAACGAGAAAGGTACAACGTAATTAATGTCAGCATGTTATTAAATTGTTCCCACCTGCATTGGAATTTGGAACCAAAATTTCATTAATTAAAAAAGAGAAACAGTGTAATATTAAGTGTAATACCAACAGTCAGTGTTTGTGTTCTTTTTTTGGCAAAAAAAAATGACTTTTCTTAAAATAATGCAAAGTAATACTCTCTCTGTCCCATAAAACTTGGTCAAATTTCTTTTTTTAGCCGTCACAAAAAACTTTGTCATTCCCATTAAAAGTAACAAATATGTGGCTAAAACTATTTCTTTCCCCTCTGTACAAATCTCAACCACACAGTTTTTTTTATCATCAAAACAAATTGCTTTAAATTAATATCACAAGGATTCAAATCGTTACAAAAAATTCAACAGGACTAACATTGACAACAATTATCCTTAACCAATTAGCACTATAACTCTACGGCTAGACTCACAGACGATCACCCCGGAAAGAGCAATACGAATCGCTAACCACCAAGCGGGTGTGACACAACAATCACTGGCCATAAAGATCCTTCCATCGACATAATATCTAGCAGGATTGTCAATCATTATTGTTGACCTAAAACTAAAGACATCAACACAAAACAGAGCAACATAAAACATAACTCAAAAATAAAACCTTGTAAAATTAAATAACTAATAAAACTTCCAAACCCTAGCAACTCGATCACTCCAAGGCGGCGGTTCAGGAGAGGCGCGGACTGCTGATCTGTCATCTCCCTTGCCCAGCCCTTCGCCTTTCCCTCTTATCGTCGCCCGAGCTGCCTACACTACCAACACTGCCCTCTACCATGTTGATTTGCCAAAAACTAACCATCCAACTTCCTCCTCAATTGCAGGACTGAGCCAACGTTGCTCTAGATCATCCATATGAGTCATAATTATCCTTTGTTGAACCTTGGATTCGTTTTCAAAAGTTGTTGTTGCTGCATTCATTCCTCCCTCAAGATTGAAAACAATTGATGGAAGGAAAACCCTACACGACGGCAGAGCCGTTAGGGAGGAAAAACCCTACGCGGCAGAACCGCTAGGGAGGAAAAAACCCTATGCGGCAGAGCCGCTAGGGAGATCGGCAGGATAACCCTTTACTTCTACGTACGTCTCAAAGCAGGAGAGAAACGCAATTAGATTGACCAACTTATTAGTATATTTCAACCACGCGATTTTTACTTTATTATTCCACGTGCAAGTCAACATTGACCAAATTTTATGAGACGGATGATTATATCAATTGTGTTTTTGTGTTTGAAAACATAAAATTATGCTCATTAACTTTTATAAGTAGTTAGGGAGTATATATCAATTGAGATTGTGTAAATACTCGTATTTTATATTCCGGTTGCTTAAGTGATACTACCTCCGTTCTTTAATATTAGTCCCCTTAGGGTTTGACACGGGATTTAATAATAAAGTAGTAGGGTAAGTATAGAGTGTGTAGGGTAAATGATAAAGTAGGAAATATGGTATATTAAAAAGAGTAAAATGATGATAAAGTAGGAAAGAGAGTGTATTAAGAAGAGTAAAGTGATGGTAAAGTAAGAAAGAGAAAGTAGTTTGTAAAAAGTAAGTGGAGTAAAAGTAATAAAAATGGGGGTATTTTCTCAAAAACTTTCCTTAAAGGGAAAGGAGACAACTAAAAAAAAACGTCCCAACAAGGAAAGAAGGACTAATAAAAAAGAACTGAGGGAGTACAATGGAAAAGATAATAATAAAAAACATTTATTTAGATAATGATAAAAACAATCAATGCATTGCCACGCGTTAGCAGATTAGTGGCTAGCATAAAATTATAAAAACTATGGTAGTTGTGAATAAAATTGATCTCTGTAGTCTGTAATAGAGGTTTGAGTAGCTGTAGGTCTCCGGCTAGAGTGAGCAAATTGTACGTATTTCCTTTTTCCTTTACTTTTTTCCTTCTATATTCTACAATTCTTTTTTCTTCTCCATCAAGTGATCAAACACTAAAAATGTAATTACAATTTGACTTTTCTTTATCTTCAACTTAAATTATAACTCAATCTATTTTTTATTCT